TGCTATTGAACTACATTTCCCACAATGCATGCCTGCTCATTAGCCAAAATGGCTGAAGGACCCAAAAAGAGCTGTCTGTAGCAGACAGAATATAAACTGCTTTAAAAAATCACTTTACTTTGGCCTTATTTCCATAAACAAGGCAGTGGGGTAACCAGCCACAACCAGCCAGCCAGCCGTTTACAGTCCGTAAGTAATGATAAAATAAAATGATTGATTGCATCTGCAAAAAGGAATGGATGTGTCTTTAGGATCCCCTCCAACTCAGTAGAGGAAGCAAATGGATGTCAGGAGAGTTTGGATGGTGCCATTCTGCCCAAAAGAAGGGGGTCAGTATAAATGTCCCTTGATGGTGTCTGTACTATGATTTCTGCTTACACTGCTTAGCCGGTATTGCACCACCTGACATCCACCGGGAAGTAGCAGCCAGTGGTGAAAGGACCAAGGCAGAGACATCTCCAGCTCATCCCCTGTTTGGGTATCAGCCAGCACATCAATGACTTAAATCTAGAAATAGTTTTCTAAGATCTACAGGGACACTCGCTGGAACACCTCAGCAAGCGAGAGCCCAAAAGTGGCAGGCTCAAACCCAGCACCTCAACCAATGAGGTTCTGATACCAAATGAGAGACTCCCCCCTGGGCACACAGAGGACTGGGTGACTTGGAAGGCGCTGAACAGACTGCGCTCTGGCACCACGAGATGCAGAGCCAACCTTCAGAAATGGGGCAACAAAGTGGAATCCTCAACATGCGAGTGTGGAGAGGAGCAAACCACTGACCACCTGCTGCAATGCCACCTGAGCCCTGCCACATGCACAATGGAGGACCTTCTTGCAGCAACACCAGAAGTACTCCAAGTGGCTAGATACTGGTCAAAGGACATTTAATCAACTACCAAACTCACACATTTTGTATTTTGTCTGTTTGCTTTGTCCTGTTAGAAATGTAATATAATTTGACTGGTTGTGCTGACACGACAAATAAATAAATTAATGAATCGATTCAGAATTTTCAGAAGTGACTTTAGAATCAAACCACCAGTGCCCCTTACATCCAAAATGAGTTTTGAACCACTTTTTTTATCAACCAAGCCTACTAGCTACTTAAGAACATTCTATAAAGGATGCTTGACTTCAATACTTTAAAAAATCCACAGGATGGACATTTTTCTTTTTGTTAATTGCTTTTTTAAAAAAATTGCAAAAGTAAAAAAAAGAACACTTTCAATGAAACCTTTTTACAGTTTATTGTCTATTGTTGAATGTATCAAAAAGAGAATGTGAATAAATGAGGGACATTAAATGGTGAAATTCTATCAGGGCAAACAAATAAATAGTTATTTACAGTCTTTGGCAAAACAAAATGTAAGTCTTGTTGGTCTCTTGTTCATAAGCGGAAGCACACCCTTTCCTTGCTCTCTCTTTTTCACTTACCCATACTCACACAAACACACAAGAAAAAGCAAATCATAAATACTTTACAAAGCATATAGGCAATTATGATACAACCTAAATATTAACATCTTAGTCCCAGCACTGATGTCTTCTTTTTATTTCAAGAATACACAAACATTATTACATTAATGAAACCTTCATCACTCTTCTTTGTGGGACTTTAGGCTATAATTTCAAAACATTAAAATATAAGATGCAAAAACATCCCAACCAAACAAGTTACAAACCTTGTCAAAAGGATTTTATGTTAATATGTGTTTACATTAATATGACAACTTTAAAAAGTGCAATAACGTCTTTATATGGTATATAATGTCAAAATCAAATCAGACATTGGAAAATGGCAAAACTGACCTTTGGCTCACTATGTTCTCAAATGAAGTAAAATAGATTATCCCAATTTACCTATTGTGTCCATGTGCACTACCTCTCATGCACAGATAACAAAGTGATCTAACTTCCCTGACCCTTAACTTTGGTGGTCACATAAGAACAGCTCTGGGTATAGTTGAGAAAAAGGTTTTTCAGATGCCCACTCCTAAAATGTCCCCATGATCCGGCTGGGGAATGGGGATGGTGTTCTGGAAGTTATAATGCAAAAAAACCCCAATCTATCCAAGCACTGCTTCCAGGATTGTGTCCATCCAATGATTGAAACCATTCTGTCCACTAATTAATTTAATCTAGAATATAGGGTTGTGTGGAAGGGCCCCAGATCTAAGGTTAAGGACCAAAGTCTTCCAAATAGTTTTAGACTGGACCTCCCATGTCTGGCTTTGATCCCTGGTACCTGGGAGAGGTGCAGTCTAACAGCATCTACAGCAGTGGTTCTCAACTTGTGGGTCCTCAGATGTTTTTGGCCTTCAAATACCAGAAATTCTAACAGCTGGTAAACACCTGGGGCCCCACAGGTTGAGAACCACTGATCTAGAGGGTTACATGATCCCCACCTCTGGGCTATACTAACAAGGGCATCCAATGTTGAAGTATACAAGTATAAACTAAATGTTAAATATGTATATATGATTGTATAACTGAATAACTGTTGTCTCTGGTATGATAAAAGGCTGATTCTTTTCACCAATCTTTCTGTAAAATACCTATACACAGCAGGCATACATACAAAATACAAACATAGAAGACAATTGTAAATATAATGGTTCCACTTACAAAGTTTTAGTGGCCATCTAGTTTATTTGGTGATTCAGAACATTGAAAAAATAATGTAACTTATATAAATCATACATATAACCCAGAGGATATATATCTACTCAGATTCTAGCTGGTTTCTTTGAGGTTTTTCACTGTTAATGTGCGCTATGGCATATTTCTGATAAATTACTGGAGAAGACATCTGCACCATACAATAATAAATAGATTGTTAAAAACCTTGTAACTGAAGCCCTAACATAGTACCAGATTTTGGTCATAAATGTGTTGCCATCAGATTAGGAAAGTATCAAAGTACTTGTTGGAAGAGTTAGGGAAATGGTTCACCTGGTCTTCAACTGATTTCATGGATACCTCAAGCACAGAGTCAGATACCTATTCCAAAACTGCTATCCAGAAAATACTTGTTTCTATTATTAGTGGAAATATTCCCTCCCTAATGGTGTGTCTTCCTACAGTAATCTTTACAGACTGATTCTAAACCTTAAATGGCAAACAAGTTTGCTGTCTCACCAATTAACACCTGTGTCATGGTCAAGGTGGGGAAAATGAATGAAAGACACAGTGGCCAAACCCCAGACAGGGAGGCAATTAATAGTGAAAGCCAAGTGAACCTACTTTTAAAAAAGAACATCCACAGTTGATTCTGATATACAAAAGCTATTTTAAAATTCACTATAGTTCTATTTCAAGTAAAAATAACAATTTTATATACGTGGTGTGGAGTATTCCAGCCTGGCATCATATACTGCTGATTATTATTTATTTATTTATTTTGTAGCAGAACACAGAAATGTGACCTACATTGAGGCAGGCCATTGATTCAGCTAAAATTCTATCTATTCAAAGTCTATGTGGTTTGTGGTTCTTCAGACTGAACTGACACTCCCATAATCTCTCATAGAATCATAGAATCATAGTGTTGGAAGAGGCCTCATAGGTCATCCAGTCCTGCCAAGAACCAGGAAAATCACATTCAAAGCACCCCCGACAGATGGCCATCCAGCCTCTGTTTCAAACCTCAAAAGAAGGAGCCTCCACCATATTCCAGGGCAGAGAGTTCCACTGCTGAACAGCTCTCACAGGAAGTTCTTCCTAATGTTCAGGTGGAATCTCCTTTCCTTGTCTCAGCTAGATAGAAATGGTTTATGTGTTTTGATATATGGATATAAATTCAGGACATCATTCACTGAGGATCTCAGCAGACTTTAGTAGAAGGGGTCTTTAGTCTGCATCAATTATATCAGTACATAACAAAATCTGGGGAAAATCTGTTATTGGTTGGAAAGTGTTATTTCTTGTTTAATTGTGTTGTACACACTTTGAAAGTAGTTGTTATACTCCAGAAACTTTGTTTTTGTGGCTGCCACAAACAATGTTGAATTGGTTGAGATTCTATGAGTCATTGAAAAACTATAGAAAGAATGTGCTGCAGGATGTCCTAACAAACTTTTTCCATGTTTATGACAGAACCAATTAGGAAATCACACTACATAGTGCTACAGAGACAAAACAAGATGCTTATTTGATCTGCCTCTGCCAGTAATGAAATGGTCATGAGGAAAACATATTACAAAAGTGAGCCCTGGTAGGGTGACAAGGAACCATAGCAGAGTTAAACACATAGACTGCTCCACCATATGTTCAATTCAGCCTCAGTTCAACATCTTAGAGGGCCACATGTTCCTCAACTCGTCTTCACTAACTATCAATAGTTTGTAGAGTTTTCAGGTAAAATTACCTCTAGCCTTAATTTGAGATACCAAAAATTGAATCTGGAACCTTTCAAACACGAAGATTTATCCTACTACAGAACTAAAGCATTTTTCCTAAGTTCTTCACAATTGATGCAATTCAATGCCATGAGTAAGTTATTGCTCGCGACAATAGATTCAAGTCAGATCCATTCAGAAGGGATCTTTCCATCTGAGCACTCTCTTAAAGGCATGACTCCATGGGAAATAGTTCCAACTTCACTTTTGTAGAAGAGAAACAAATATCACATCTGAAGTTTTCACATCAGCTATTAAACTATGAGTTTACTATAATTGCTCAATGGCCAGTTCCCACCATTTGAAAAAAAATCAATTATATTTAATTTTTAATTTAAAACACACATTTGATCTAGGGATATAAAAATATTAATAAATGTTCTCATTGTCAACAAAATAGGTTTTTCAACACACTAAGACATCGTATAGAAAGAAGTGTCACCCAGAGCAACATTTTTCACACTTGTAGAGAGTGAAACAAACAAGCTGGGGGAGAAGGCAGTTTCCCACATGAAATTATTTTGCAAAAAGAATGCTGTATGTTGTTCAAAGAACAATATTTTGTGCAAAATACAATGGTTTTTTTGTCCAAAAAAAAAAACAACAAAATATCACAAATTTTTCACCAAACCAACTCCCATGTGAAAAATGATCCAAAATGTACAAAACAATTACATAATCTCACTTGGAGAGAAAACCTGTGAAATGTTTCATCTCATATATGAGAACAAAGGAAGCAAAGATTCACAACCCAAACTCCATCTTAAAATGTGCTAGAAAATCAATAGTTCATGAAATCATATTTAAACTTAGCCCGTGCTTTCATTTCTCATGGCTTCTTGGTTAGGAAGGTAGTGTTTATTCCTTTTTAAACTGGGCTGAAATTTATCTCCCGAACTATTTTATCACCAAGGCCCAGCCTCGATCTGAACAATGTTGGCTAAAAATGTGGCCTGCCTTCTAATGACCAAAAACTTCTTCACATCAGTCTTCCCACACAACTTCACATCCCACCATATCTATAATATATCTATATGTACATTAAGTAATTACACTTTTACAATTTAACTGTAAACGTCATCAGAGAAAAAGAAAATGAACAAACATGTCTGCCAAGTTTTCACTCTCCATAGCATTCTGGTTTCCTTCAGTGGTGGGTTTGATGGTCTCTTGTAGGCCCTTTCAGCCCAGGTTCTTAGAAGGCACTTAGGTGTAGGATTGGAGGGCTCCCCTTAGGCAGCAGGGAGGCACATAGTCAGGGAAACATACCGGAGGCCAAGTTGAAAAATGAGTGAGGGGTTTGGAGTACCAGGATATACAGAGGTGTCTATGTTGAATGGGATCTACAGTACTTTGCTGGTTATGAAGCAGCTTTTGCTCAGGCATCTACAACAAAGACAAAGAAAAACACAATGTTCACTAGAGACAAGAAAGGCATACTCACACACAAAAACCAATTGCTAAAAACTCACATCTAGTAATTAGAGGCATGTTATAGTACAGACCTTACTACTGATAGTACTTAATCTGAATGTATTGCAGTTTGCCTGGCCTTCATACTCAATATACTATCCCTAAACAAATCAGTGCATAAATGTGTTCTATTATTACTTTTACTACTAATAACAATAATAATAAACTTTATTTATCTTCTGCCGTATCTCCTTGGTGGGACTCAAGGCAGATTCCAAACATAAAAGGCAAACATTCAATGCCTGAACATAATAACAATACACACATAATAATGAAAATTGACAACCCAGCATATAAAAGCAAATCATTCCTTAACAACTAAAATTAAATGAAAAACTCAGCCTATTATAATTTCATAGGCCCCATTTTCACTGCCATATTATGCAGTTTCCAGAATGCAGGTTAACTGCATTGAACTGGACTATATGGCAACATAGATTCATATAATCCAGGTAAATGCAATTCAATCTGTATTATATGAATCTACACTGACCATTATAATGCAGTTCAAATCATAGAATGGGTAAAAATGACATCTTTTCCACACAAAACTATGTATTTCTTTACAAAATAGTTCTACAAAACACTTTAGAATATGCAGTGACTGTGCCGAAAGTGCAGAAAGCTTTTTCATTTACAGTGGGAGAAAACAGTGGTAATTGTTTTTCACTTACAAGAATAAAATAGCTGAAAATTTACATCTCAACTATATAGTAACCAAGTGACAAATTTGTGTGTATTAATCAAAATTGCATCCGCTTCTATCTATCCCAGCTGGTGAAGAATATTATAGATATAGGAATCTTTTGTATTACCTTATGAAGCTAAAATGACTTTGAGCACAAAATTGTTGAGGTAGTCTTTGCTTACCTCTACATTCATACTTGAGGTCAGAGAAGTACACCATCTCTTGTGAAAAGACAAATAAACCTAACCTCCCGCCAGCATAAGTCTTGTCATAGATGGGTCCAGAATCTGCCATGACTTGCTTCCCTTCATATACTAAAACTCTGAAGGAAGAATATAATGTAGATTAGATGGAGTGTTTAGTTATCTTTCAAGCTAAAATAAAAGTTCTTCTAAGAAAGAGATGAAATATCAAATATCCACAAATATCTAAAACACATGACTTGGAACTTGTAATGGTCCAAATGTTCAATACCATTGTTTACCAGGCTGGTTAGACCTTATGAGAAATGTATTTTAACAGCATCAGGAAAGTTGAGATTCCCGTTACTGTACTAACATCAGAGTCTGCTCCATTCAGATTCCTAACATGAACCAATCTGACCAGCGTTGTTGTTGGCTCATCAGTAAATGTATAGATACTATTGACAAAAGAATTTTCTGTTCTTCTCAGGCCAGCCAAGGGTAATAGAGTATATCTATTCTGGGAAGGCATATTGTACATTTGACACATTTAGAGCATTTATAACTATTGCACATTTAGTTATCCCAAAGAATAATAACTTTTTTTTTGTACCCTGCCTCCATCTCCCTGAAGGGACTTAAAGCGGCTTACTCTATGACACAAAATGCCTAAAACAATGCATAAAATGAACACAATACAATACAAAAAAGTAAAACTAATAGCATATTAAAAAAATTAAAACTCAGAACAATGCCCAATAACCTATGGTGACAACTGCCATAAAACATGTCCAAACTGTAAACAAGACAAGGGAATGGGAAAGTTCAATTTGTAGCTTTCTTCAGTCTTTTCTCCCTCTCTGCCAAGATCCAATGATTCCAAGAAATAAAATCCCATCCCTGTCCAAGTATTGTTTTTATTGAATAAAGGGCTTTGTTTATGTGAGTCATTCAACAAAAATTGCTATCTATGATCAAATGGAAAGTTGATCAATGGCAGACTATTTAGAATACCCCAAAATCTTTCAACAATAAGCAGGAAAAGATGACCATGAATGGAGTGACAACATTAGAATTTGTTTACACATAATCAAGTAAACCTTTATTTATAATAAAATGGGAAAGCAATACCATATACTTCAAGAAATGTCTCACTTTATTAATCCTGTCTTAGGTCTGTGGATCAAATGCCACCTGTATGCAGTGTAATCTTTCCAGCCAATATTCTTGGGGTCGTGCCACAATGTACGCACCTGTGATAAAATAAAAAATACAAACTTAAAAAAAACTAAAGCCTTATGAATGAATGTTATAACTAGGATATATCAGGTTTCCATGGTTTCTATCTTTTGGATTAGTGTTTCTAAGTATTTGGTCTTCCAGATGTTTTGAGCTTCAGCTCCTGAAATCTCTAATTATTAGGAATGACAGCTTCAAGTTCTAGAAGCTGAAGTCCCAAAACAACTAGAGGACAAAGACTGAGAACAACTGCCGCAGTTCCAAAGTTTTTAAAAAAGTTTTAAATGTATTAATGTTCATCTTTATATCCCCATCCTTTGATGAGGTTTACTTTTTGGCACTATGATGTGCCAATAAAATGCATGTATGGAATGTTAGGCAACTGAGAAAAGTCAAGTATACTATGAAGAGTTACAGGGGGTGCAATGGCTTTTTCTGCAATTCCATACAGGGATCCCTGTCAGTTGAGAGGGTTTGCTACTCTGTGTAACAGACATAATTGGTCAATGTATTCCCAAGGAATTCACCACATGAGAGTAATTGGCATGTTCAAGGGTGCCATTGAGAAAGAAGGTAAAGCTGCTCTTGGTAACCCAGGTTTCTTGGGTAAGGTATATTTAGTCATTCCACTAGGCACTCTTGGAGCTCAGTTAAATGATAGATTTAGCATCACCCATGAAACATAATGGAAATATATTGAATTAAATCTCTGTTACAATCCAAAATCTGCTTAGCTTCCATTCATGGTCATTGTGGAAAATGTGGTATTCCACAATTGGGTATCATGGGTTTAAACCTGTGGTATTTTACCAGAAATACCTGTTACTGGCCAAACTGAATGTTGGACTAGGTAGACCTTTGGTCTAATCTAGTAGTGATTTTGTGTCGTGCTTACTACAGACAGTACATTGCTAAATGGGAATTATAAAAATATCTTTTACCTGTCCAGCTGTGTTTCCAGTATGCCAAAGAGCATTTCTCAAATGTTCACCAGTGCCGGTTGTGGAGTTCACTACTTTAAGTGATACTCCTGAATAACCATAAGCCCTAGTGGGCTTGTCTTCCCAATATGTCTGAGTAACTTGTTTCCACATCAGGACATAGAAGCGACTGCTAGACTGGTAAGCAAAGACAAATCCAGCATAATCATCATCCCGGTCCGTATTGACATAAAATGTACCACTGAAGTCAACAGAACTGAATTCATCATAACCTGCAACAGGACAAAATAATGATAGTCTCACAATAGTTGCAGCACATTGAGAACTTCAGTGTTGGAAAGCAACTATTTTCTCATCACATAAACTAAAAAACAGTTTGGCAAAAATGTTCATGCTTTTTCTTGCTTTATAAATATAAATTTATTTATCTATTTACTTTGTTTTATATCCTGTTGAGGGACTCAGAGCAGCTAACAAGTATCAAGTTGGTTTCAGACAGTCCTCTATTTTGGTACTTTTCCTGTTTCCAACTGTGAACAAGTTAATATGATCTATCTTTCATATGTTTCTTATCTTCTAAATGTTACTGTTCTTTTTCATTGTTTGATTTAAAATGAACTCATTGGATTAGTATTAGGTTTATTTACCAACACATACATAAACTGGTGAGGGTCATCGTACTTTGAAAATTCAATTCCATAGTTACAATGGATATTAAGATAAGTAGATATAGGATTTTATCCTCAGTTTATTTGCAAATTTCAAATTGTTCAGACATTCACCCAAGTATAGTTCAATGCATGCTAAGGAAAAGGATTTGCATGTGTAGGATCATGGGGAGAGAAGACATTCCCAGATATAGGATTTTATCCTCAGTTTATTTGCAAATTTCAAATTGTTCAGACATTCACCCAAGTATAGTTCAATGCATGCTAAGGAAAAGGATTTGCATGTGTAGGATCATGGGGAGAGAAGACATTCCCACCACCCTTCAGTAATCCATGCATTCAGACAAACATCAGAATATGGGATAGCTTAGTACGAATATAAGCACCGGGATTGTGGCGCAGCTGGCTGAGTGTCAGCTGCATTAAGATCACTCTGACCAAAAGGTCATGAGTTCGAAGCCAGCCCTGCCAGCCATTGTGTCGAAGCCCACACACCCAGCCAACCCGGGGCTGGAGGAAGTCGCTTTATGTGGGCTTTGTCAGATGCCAGTAGGTGTTGTTTTAGCCCGTGGTCGAGTTATCACGTTGGTCCCGGTGTCGTACCCTCATTCACCATACCACCTTTTGTTCACTCTTTGCAACACAAAATAAACAAATAAAAAAAGAAAAAAAGATAAAGAGAAAGGACAGTTTGCATTCTGCTCAAAGTAGGAGAATAATAATGCTTTGGTGGAGGTGGGGGTAAACCACCTTATTTTTGTGTGGCGAGGCTAAATTTAACAATTTGCCATGAGGCCATATTATATAAGACAAGAAAAGAGACCTCCGGGGTGGGAGCTGAGGGGTGGAATGTGGATATATGAGGAAGAATATAGAAAGGATAGAAGATGGAGGAGTCTCAAAGAAAATATGAATGAGGGGAAGGAATGAGAATGAAACCTGAAGAAGAAAAAAGGAAGGGTGTAAGGAAGGAAGGAAGATAAGGAAGGAAGAAAAGAAGAAAAAGAAGGAAGAAAGAAAGAAGAAAAAAAGGAAAGAAGAAAAGAAGAAAAGAAGAAAGAAGGAAAGAAGGAAAGAAGGAGAGAAAGGAAGAAAGAAAGAAAAAGAAAAAGGGGGAAAGGAGGAAAGAGGTAGAGAAGGAAGAAAGAAAAAGAGAAGAAAAGAAAATGAAGGAAGAGAAAAAAGCCTTCCATCGGTGGGTATCATGTGACACTGAATTTCCAGATGGCTTTGTATGACACACACAAATAGTAAAAGTATTTTGGAACAGATCTCATGAGTACTTTCAGATGTATTCTTGGCCCATTCGGATTAACTTGTGACAATAAAAGCAGCAGCCTTTGGGAATCATGGTCGGAATGATTCTTCCATTAAGAACTGAACTGGAATTTTGAAAAGGTTCTCTAGCAAATCAAGTTAATGACTTTCTAAGAGCTCATTGAAAGCTGAACAAAATCTGTGTTGCCTCAGAAACACTTCTTGGTTACAATTCCTGGTACATATGTTTCATTTATAGTTTTTCCCTCGGTCAGTTGTCTTTTGT